CATTAGCACCTCTAGTAATATATTTACTGAGAAAAATGGTGACGTGTTCAATACTTATTTTACCCGCTGTATTTGTGTGTGGCTTTTGGAGAAAATAGTAAATATACTCAGCTGGTGAGTGCATGTGACCTCCCCCAAAAGAAATAAAAATTACAGTGGGATTGAACTTTATTATATGTTCTTAACAATCACGCAATAAAACGATGGAGTGCAGGGGAGGGGGGGTTAATGACTGAGCGGGGTTGTGTATTCGTGTGCGGGGGGTTAACTTCGGCAAACGGAGAGCTGAACGTGACGTCACGTCTTCTGCGCATGCAGGAGGCATGAAAAGTTCAGAATGTAGACCAGGGGTCTCCAACCAGCAGCTCTTCAGTACTTATGAAAAATTCAGAGAAGCAAAATTTAATTTGTCACTGRCCAAACAAACTTTCATTGAATTCCAATCAATCTATAGATGTCCCTCCCCTTTGGTTGTCAATCAATCAGTTTAGGGCTCAGTATGGTCGATCGGCAGACGACGCGCGGTTACGTGGTTGTTCGTTTTCACACACACCTTTCATAGTTTGAGACAGACGGGCTGTGTCCAAAACGGGAGGCCGGGTTTCTTCCCACTGAAGTCTACAATGCGGGAAAAAATAAATAAAAAATCGGAGACCTGTCACCTGACGTTATTTGTGCACAAAGCTGTYGCAGTTAAACTCTAAGTTAGTTGTGTGAAATACACTATAATATGAATGAATAAATACAAAAAGCACATTCATGTAAATCCAGTGTTCTTTGTGGTGGTTTCATGTGAGTTGTGCAAATCAAGCTTATTTCAATGGTTTAAGTTTAAAATTAAATGTTACAAAAAGTAGCTCTTGGAAAATTTCATTTTGTGAAATTAGCTCTTAAGGGAAAAAAAGGTTGGAGACCCCTGATGTAGACTGATGGAGGTTGCATTTAAAATATAATGTGAACGCCAAAAATATATATATAATAATAATTTGAACTGAGCATTAAGACCTGCAGTGTGAATGTAGCCTTAGAGACATCAGTTTTTTCTGCATCGTGTTATAAATGATTATTTTACCTGACAGCCTGTGTTGTTATTACTGATGTTTTCAGGCCTTCATCACGTTCCTCTGTCTTTACGGGATGGTGTGGTGCGCAGAAACGTACGGCCCGAGGGAAAAGGTGTGTCTGTTGCTTATGGTTTCAGGAATATGTTTTCATTGGTCAAACTACTGCAGATCGATGGTCTTGTATTTAGTGAAACGAGTCGACACGTCCTAAGATAAGTTGCCATACGTTGGTAACTCATTCTGCTGTTCGAGGCGAACGTTCATCAACCAGTACAGCTTTGCGTCACACAGTCTGGTTCCTCTGAAGAGTTTCAATGATGAGGTATTTCCCAGCAGACGTATCAAGTCCAGCTGTTTTTGTCCAAATCTTCGCAGTAAATTAGTGTTTTTTCATATTCTGAGGCGGTCTGGTTCTAAAATGTTCTTAACTTTGGTGTCCTCAAACAACTGCAGATGTTTTCATCAGTTCATTTTTGTTCTTTATTTTTTCTGTCTTTACCAGATGTGTGTAAAACACACTAATCATTTTTTAATGTTTTGTTTTTTGACCTGTCAGCAGGAAGTTTTTACATATTTTAGGCATAATAAATAGCTGCCGTCAGTGACGATCATGGGCTCATCGTGGGTTTTTCCCCCTCAAACGTTCCTTAAAGTGTATCTTACCCCCCCCCGTGAAAAGATAACTCTGCCCCAAGGCAAAATTTGAAAAATGCATCAAAGTGGGTAGGGGAGGGGTGTGGGTGGGGAAGGGGGG